TAATTTCGCTAGTATGGAAATGAGATTTATAAATTCCTTGTCGAAATTGTTTATGCCGTATCATATACGGTCGCGTCTTTCCGTCCAAATGTCAATGGGATGTGCACTTGCACAACATAGAGGTAGAGCATCGTAAACTGGTATAACTGATTGGAAAAAAGCGATTACACCAGTTGGATATAGTAAAAGTTTATATCGTAATGTTTTATAGGGGAGAGTTGGACAAAACAGGATAGTCGGATAAAACGGGATATCGGCCAATATTTATGAATACGCAGCGCTATCTAACGAGTCGTGGCGTTAATAACTATAAATAACGTTTGCTTGAATGTAGGAACTAGGAAGTGTTTATTCTCATTAACTGCTGTTCAGTAGTGAGTGACAACGGCAGTTTGAAAAAGTGAGGTTATACTATTTAGTTTTATTAGCGGTTAATTTAGTGTTTCTTATTTTAAACAAGCAAAATAAATAACGGTGAGTATTTTTTGTGATTTTGTAGATAATTGCCTGTATTTTGCGACATTTGTGATTATGACAACTATTTTTTTTTTTGTGAAAAACTTTGAAATGCATTTTGGAATGTGCAGTTGGGCAAAATGGGATACCAAGCGGTCGGGTAAAACTGGATACTATCCCGTTTTGTCCAACCAAGAAACTATATAGATTTTCACGAGAAATTTAAACTTTACTTTTGTTACAGGCTTGTTAAAAGATGGGAAAATATAAAAGAAAAACTGAACGGCAGTCTTGGAATGAGGAAAGTATGCGCCAGGCGGTGGAAGAGGTTCTCGAAGGAAGAATGGGGTATCTTAAGGCTTCGAAACAATTTGGGGTACCTCGGACAACTATTGAAGCCAGAGTAAAAAAAAATAAAAAATGGGACACTCGAACGAGAGAACTCAGCAAAGAAGGGACTAGGGCGTCACAGATCGGTTTTCTCTATGGAGCAAGAAGAAGAGTTGGTGCGACTCATTTTGTCTATGGAATCACGATTGTTTGGTTTTAGTTTGAATTACTTTCGAAGTTTGGCCTTTCAGTTAGCTCAACGCAATGGCTTAGCTAATCAATTTAACAGAGACAAAAAATGGCCGGTAAAGCTTGGTTATACAATTTCCTAAAGAGACAACCAAAAGTTAAACTTCGCACCTCTGAGCCAATATCACTTGCTAGACAATGGGTTTTAATAGACCTGCCGTACAAAAATATTTTTCGTTGCTGTCTGACGTGCTTGAAAAATATAAAATACCACCCGAACGGATTTACAACGTCGACAAGACGGGTATAATGACAGTGCCAAAGAAAAGATCGAAATGCTTACCGTTGCGTGGGAAAAGGCAAGTGGGTGTATATCCTCAGCTGAACGCGGCGTTCTTGTCACCGTGGAAATTTGCTACTGGTGTATTTATGCCGCCTACGTTCATTTTTCCTAGATCCAGAGCTAAGCCGGAGCTGCTAGATGATGCTCCTCCTGGAAGTAAAGCTTTTTATCATTCTTCAGGATGGATGCAAAAAGAGATTTTTTCGAACTGGTTCAATCAATTTATTGAGTTTTCCAAGCCCTCCAAAAAACATCCTGTCCTCTTACTTTTGGACGGACATACGACCCACACAAAAAATTTAGACGTTATAGAGAAAGCTAGAGTTAGCGGTGCTCTGCTTTCCACCGCATACCACGCATCGTTTACAACCGCTAGACGTCAGTTTCATGTCGCCACTTAGCTCATATTATACGTCAGAAGTTCAAAAATGGATGCAGCAACATCCAGGTCGACCAGTTACGATATACCAAATAGGCAAGCTTTTCGGTAATGCATATATGAAAGCTGCTGGCATCCAAACAGCTGTGAATGGTTTTAGAAAGACAGACATTCAACCTTTCAATCCAGAAATATTTGAAGACTGGATGTTTGAGCCAGCTCAAACAACAGACACACCGACGAACAATAATGCAACTGGTCCAATTGAAGAAAATAATAGCCGCCCTCCACCACATACACCATCACCGATAACACAAGAGCTTGTTTTACGGCGATTATCACAAAACCAAGTTGCAGGTGAAGAGCAAGCAAGGCATGATGCAGAAAAGGTTGACAACTCCGCAACAACACCGGCTTTGCCTCCAGATCCTGTTACACCACAAAAAACGCCCCAGATGCTTGAAAGTAAAGAAAATTTGTATAATACTCCTCCTCCTGTTTCTTGCAGAGATTTCGATGCAAATGCGACCCCCTCTTGTTCATACACCATCACGAAATTTGAAGAAACACCTCAACAAATAGTTCCAGTTCCTCACGCAGAAAGAAAAATTAATCCTAACGATAAAAGGAGAGGAAAATCGGCTGTGCTAACTTCAACCCCTTACAAAGAAGAACTGGAAACATCTGTAGTGAACAAGCCTATCAAGAAACCCAAACTGAACTTGGAGGAAAATCAAAAAGTAAAGAATAACAAAGGAATAAATAAAAAATGTGTCACTAAGCCAAAGAAAGGAAAGGAAAAAAGAAAAAGAAGACAGCAGTTCAGAAGAAGAGGGGGAGGACGACGAAGTTTGCATTTATTGCACATAATTATATTCTAATTCTAAGACAAACGACGGTTGGGTAATGTGCCAGGACTGTAAACTTTGGGCTCATGAAGCTTGCGCCGGTGTTGAGAACGATGGTGAGCCGTACTCGTGCGATTTTTGTCGGTGCTAAACCATTAATTGGTTTCGAATTATAAATATAAAACTCATAATATTTCTCTTTTCAAGTTTTATTAAATAAATTTTATTTTAATATACTTTTCTATTCGTATTTAATCACCATCGCATTTTACCCGACCAGGGGGTCTATTCTCGACTTTTATTCCCATGGGAAAATAAAATTTTCCCATGGGAATTCAGTTTTCGAATTCTCGACGTAAGCGGTGGAATATTTTCCAATGAGAAGTATGGGAAAATATTCCCCTGCTTACGACCATTGGAAATTGTGTTTTCCAATGGGAATTGTACTAGAGTTTGCGCATTAAAGTCGAAAATTTGACGAAAGACCACGCGAAAGACTAAGACATAACCAATGATTATTGGATATCTTGGATTTTTGGTGAAATTGTAGTTAAAACATTTTTTGGCGTATTTATAGATTGATATTATTTTATTTATGTAGGTATATTATTTTTTATTCTCTTTCACTAAGAAACTGTATAAACTGATTTTCCTAAATCATTTAGAAATTGTGGGAGCTGCTAAGGGACTGGCAAATAACACAAATTGAGAAATTTGTAGTAAATTTAATAAGACCTTTTCGAAAATTTTATTATTTCCGTTAATGAAGGAATTTCTTAGTTCTCGAAACTTTCGTTGCTCTTCCATACAAAAGCTACCCTTTCTTTTTTCAACATCTGAAAAGAAAAACTAAGATTAACTCGACAAATTTTAATTAATATACATAATCGAATATTTTCACTTGTTCCTCGGCACGGTACCTGCTCCAGCGCGGAGGCTCGGCAGCTAATCGATTACCCAAAAACCACAACAAATACAAATAATGCCAACAGTAAATTTTAAAATATCTCTAATGTTATTGGTTATTTCGAAATATCAGACATACGTGAAACTACTATTTCCATGGGAATGTCTATTCCGACAAGTTCGAGAATTGCATAACCTATTACCATGGGAATATAAGCAGTGGAATCTTTTCCCATGGGAAAATTTTCCAATGAACTCGAGAATCGAGCCCCAGGTGGGCAAAACGGGATACTTTACCCTTTTTTTTAAATATGACTTTTTCTATGTTATCTTCAAGCTATTCAGGAATAACTGTTCCTAAACATAGGAAGGGATCAATGAGGAAGTTACATTTAAGAAACAGCAGATATCAATAGCCTAGTTAGAGAGTTACGGGTCAAATAACGTTAGCTATCCCGTTTTGTCCAACTCTCCCCTAAATAAGTTTTCAAAATAATGGTATTATGCCGGTCAAGTTATAGCAAAACACCTACAAATGTATTGAATCTTGTGTTTACCATAATAAAGTTGCGTGGATTGTTACAGAGATCGGTTATTTAAAATAATCGATTATTTTCAAATAATCTATTTTCTTTTCGTATTTCCTTTAAAATCGATTATTCGATTATCTTTGAAAAATCTAAAATAATCGATTAATTTAAAAAAAACAATTAACAAAATATCGTATATTAGTTTTATTATTCTTATTTACATTTAATAAAATAAATAAAAGTATACCACCCAAGTTCCAGTAGTAAAACCTACATCATTGTTTTGAGCATACTTTTAGAACTAAAGAGGTTAAAAACAAAAGTTCCTTGTTGCTTAAAGCTCTTTTAACCCTTAACACGTTGGTAATACGATATGTACTTGTAAGGAAACCCGCTATTATGCGATATCAACCCCATAGGAAGCAGTCGAACGTTATTTCTATGGGTACTCGACTTTATCTGACATCGTAATCGCTTGCGAGGATTATTTTCCGTATCCGTTTTAAAAAATTAGGTAGGTACATTTTTTTATTAATTAGGTACTAATATACCTACTGACAATAACTGATAAGTTTTATGCCATATCAGCAGTTTTATGCCTTTTTAACTAACTCCAAAAAAGGAGTAGGTCCTCAATTCGTCGGAATATTTTATTTTATGTATGTTCAGCGACAATTCTTTATTACGTTGTCCGATTTCTATCATTCTTGTTTTGTTAGAAAGCGGGTACCTTAGGGGTGGTCGGGTGGTCCCATATAAATTCAAAATCTAATGATAGACCCTTGAGAAAATCATCAAACTCTTCATTTTTAATGTATTTTTACCATGTTATCCGATTTCTATGATTTTTTTTTTGTTAAAAAGGGATACCTCAGGGGTAGTTCCACAATTGATCAGAATCTGATGATAAAAAGTTCTCACTTTTTCGGGAAAACACTTTTTCCTCGGAAACGGAGAAAAAAGTAATTTAATAAAAAGTGACATTTTATTACCTGACAAGAGAGAAAAAACTATTTTTTAAAAACAAAAAAATGACAATATTTTCTTTTGTTTCAGGCATGCAGAAATATGGAGGGAAGCCATATTTTGACCATTGTCACGGCTCTACTTGTGACTTTCATCGATATAGTACTGACAGGTAAAAAAAGATGTTTTATTTAATTATTATAGTGAAAAGAAGAATTAAGCTTGTTTCTGAAATATTATAAAACATTGCGTTTTTAAGGTCAATTTGTAAAAAATATTAAGACCTACAACTCTCATTGTTGGGATCTAATGATGGAGCAGGGTCATCTTAGACCATGCTGGGGCTCTTTTAGGGAATAAAAAAAAAAACGAGAATGAAAACATCTGAACGTTTTTTTGTTGTCTAATTTAGCTAACATATCGCCTGCTGTCACATACATATAAAGAAAAAATTATGAAATTTAGTAGGTACTTTGGTAAACATTTTTTGTTAAATAGTTCTGTCACAAATTAATAATTTGTAAAATATTCATTAGTATACAGGGAAAATAAACAATAATGATTTATGGTGGAGAGTAAAGCACTTTTTAATTTCAATATAAAGTAAAATTAAAATATGCTTAATGATTGTACTTATTTTTAAGTCATTTCGATTTACTTTGTTTAATTAATAAAACAAAACAAATGCAGGTCTGTGAACTTGGCACCACAACATTGCAAAAAAGGGTCAAAAATGTGTGAGAGGTTTGCCCATCGTTTGCCCATTATTGCCCATGAAATAACTTTTTTACCCACCCTCTGATTGCCCATTTTCTAAAAAAAAATAATATCAAATAAAAACACAGAAATGCACTTTTATCGGAGATTAAGCCCTCCTATTAGACTAGGATTTTTTTTAGAAAATGGGCAATCCTCAGAATACATCTCTTAGTACCTTACACTTATTTTGGAAACATTTTGGTGTTTGCCCATTTTTTTATATCAAATAAATACACATAAATGCACTATTATCGGAGATTAAGCCCCCCTATTGGCCAAGGATTTTTTTTTAACATTTTTTAGCAACTTTCAATTATTTTGGAATCATTTCGATGTTTGCCCATTTTTTATATCAACTGAAAACACAAATAATGCACTACTATCAGAGATTTAGCCCCCCCCTATTGGACGAAGATTTTTTTTAAAAAATGGGCAATCAGAATACATTTCTTAGCAACTTACACTTTTTTTGGAATTATTTTGATGTTTGCCCATTTTTATATCGCTAATAAACACATATAAATGCACTATTATCGGAGTTTAAGCCCCCTATTGGACGAGGATTTTTAAAAAAATGGGCAATCTTCAGAAAACATGTTTTAGTAACTCACAAATATTTTAGCGTTATTTCGATGTTTGCCCATTTTTTTATAACACATAAACTCGTTTAAATCTCGGATAGTGGAATTGTCATCAAAACCCTTTTTTAATTAAATTTTTTTTTGAAGATCGTTATGGAAATTTGTCAAACAAAAAATGGGCAAACACGGGGTAACGAATGATTATCTAATGCAGTTATCATATTGCATTTTTGTGAATATTTTTTTTATTTTCTCTAATTTTTTTTTTTTAACTAATTTATGGACAAACATGGGCAAACGAAATGCTATAATGCCGTGAAATTAAATTATGAAAATTTTAACTTTTGTCTGGAAGTTGGCCCGCGAAAATTATTTTCGATATATTGTGAAAACAGATTGTGGACAAAAAAGTTATTTCATGGGCAATAATGGACAAACGATGGGCAAGCTTCTCACACATTTTTTAGCCTTTTTTGCAATTGTGTGATGCCCAAACTCTAACAAATGCTAGGGTTTTGAAATTTTTTGAATTTTACAAATTTGTTGCTTGATTATGGATTTACAAGTGATGCAGAAATTTTTATAAAGAACAATGTTTTTTTTTTTTCTGTAAAACAAATTACAAATGTTTCAATATGTTAACTTTTTCAATTTGCGAATTTGTCAACATTTGTTAAAGATTTCTATAATACCTTCACTACCAGGCCCCAATTTTATAATATTACTTGCGCATACTTTTCAAAATAAGAATTCCATTTTTTAACTCAGTGAGCTGCCCAACCATTGCAATCTAAAACAGACGCCCAATCGGATTAGTATTTTAGATTCTGAAAAATTCGAAGCAGCAATTTTCCTTCGGAATTCGTTGGAGGGGGTCTCTGGTAGTCTAAATTCAAAAAGTTGGGATTCCAAAGTTGTCGTTACCTCCGCCATCTTGATTTAAAGGGTTATTTTTTGTAACTTGAATAACTCATGTATTTTCAATTTTACACGGAAAATAGTTTTTACAAAAGTTATTTAAAATTAAATTTCCTACAATTCTGCTTTTTTTTTGTACGATCGATTTTTTCGATTTATACCCGAAAAGAGGGGGTGAATTTTTGGTTATAGAATAACTCGTTTATTTTCAATTTTACGAGAAAAATTGTTATAAACAAAGTTGTTTAAAATTAAATTTCCTACAATTCTGCTTTTTTTTTGTACGATCGATTTTTTTCGATTTATACCCGAAAAGAGGGGGTGAATTTTTGGTTATAGAATAACTCGTTTATTTTCAATTTTACGAGAAAAATTGTTATAAACAAAGTTGTTTAAAATTAAATTTCCTACAATTCTGTTTTTTTTGTACGATCGATTTTTTTGTATTTATCCCTGAGAAGAGTGGGGGTGAACCTAAGTATTGTATTGTCACGTTTATTATTGATATTGTACCATTATTTTTTCTGTTTTTTTTTGCTGATACCTGGAATTAAAAAGAAACGTGATAATACAATGATAAGAGTTTACCCCCACTCTTCTCAGGGATAAATACAAAAAAATCGAGCGTACAAAAAAAACAGAATTGTAGGAAATTTAATTTTAAACAACTTTGTTTATAACAATTTTTCTCGTAAAATTGAAAATAAACGAGTTATTCTATAACCAAAAATTCACCCCTCTTTTCGGGTATAAATCGAAAAAAATCGATCGTACAAAAAAAAAGTAGAATTGTAGGAAATTTAATTTTAAATGACTTTTGTAAAAACTATTTTCCGTGTAAAATTGAAAATAAATGAGTTATTCAAGATACAAAAAATAACCCTTTAAATCAAGCTGGCGGAGGTAACGACAACTTTGGAATCCCAACTTTTTGAATTTAGACTACCAGAGACCCCCTCCAACGAATTCCGAAGGAAAATTGCTGCTTCGAATTTTTCAGAATCTCAAGCCTGTTCTTCGCCTAATCCGATTGGGCGATTTAGAAAATGTTTGTCTATGTTTTATTGAGAAAACTTACCAAATCTATTCAAATATGTTAAAAAAAAAATTGTTGCAAAAATATCCAAATACAAATATAAATTGGAAATTTTTAAAACACAATTATTTAAAATTTAATTTCTTATATTTAATCCATTCTGCTTTTCTGAGGTTACTTTTGAAGATAAGTTGAAAATTTTTAAGCGTTTTTTTGAAAAACTGTCAAAGAAAAGGTAATACACACAAATGTATTATATACAGTGAGGACGAAAATTGTATCCTCCTCTATTTTAACTTTTAAATGAAAAAAGATAATGACAAAACAAAAACGAGGTAAAACACAAGAGATATTATATTTTTGTTATAACGACATGCACTTTACTTGAGATACGTAAGATTGAGCTTTAAATTTTCTAATGGAAAGTAGGGTCATGTGATACCTCATTTGAAAGATATTTTCTATATTTTTTTTACGTTCATGTAAACAGATTTAGTTTTTATGTTTTTACAGAAATTACATTAAATAAATTCATAAAGTAGGTTAAATTCTTTTTTTATTTGCCGCTTCAACCTCAAAGGATCATTACCGGAGGTATAATACCTTATAAATGCTGTTTTTTACAATAGTATACAATGGATAATTAACATTTTGGCTAGTACAGAGTAAATGTCAGTATATTTTATAAATTTAAGTAATTTTTTACTGTTAGAGGGATTTAACACTGCAAAAATGACAATTTTTTGTAGCTGGTACTTTTTTCTTATACAGACGTGTTCTGAGCTTTTACTAACAAGTTACATTCTTGATAACTCTCGTATTAACAATTATTGTTTGTTACTAAGGAAACGCTTCTTGTATTTACTAAAATAAATAAATAAATTAAGAATATCAAAGGTGATTTAAAAACTACTTGACGTATTAAATTTGTCATAACTTCTTAGCAAAAAAAAGCTTATTAAAAAATTAACTTCTAACATTATCTAACATTTTTAGGATTATTGCGGCACACGAGGATTATCAAGAATTTAATTTTTGTAAAAATAAAAAAAAATTAAAACTGTTTGCTTGGACGTAAATATAATCCAAATATCTTTCAAATGAGGCATTACATGACTTTACTTTGAATTAGAAAATTTAAAGATAGTAATTCTCTCTATTTTACGTTTCAAGTAAAGTGCATCTCATTATAACAAAAATATCATAATGTTTCTCTAATTTCACATCGTTTTTGTTTTATGTCTTTATCTTCTTGCATTTTGAAAACATACTACAAAATGCTTTCATTTGACATCGCAGGATTGCATTATAAAAATTCTAACTTCCAATTTAACCTCTTCCCCCCTCCCCAACTAACTTACAAGACAAAGTATTTTCGTTTTTGGTTAACGCCTAAACTGGGCCACTTATTACATCAAATTTCAATTGTAAAGCGACTGTGACAGACGGACAGACAGAGAGATATAAATGTTCCTTATTGCCAAATTTGGGTACTAATGCGCAAATTACTTGAAAAATTCTTTGTTTTTGTCTAAAAATTTTACCGTTTTTTCATAATTCGTCTTTTTCAAATTTAAATTTGATTTTGTTTTATCACGAGAGAAACGAGACGAGACAAGACGAGAGAAGGGCTCTCTCGAGCGAGAGAAGCGCCTTCTCGTCGAGACGAGAGAACAGTTTTCTCTCGCCCTACGAGACGAGAGTGGCCACTCTTTCGTCTCGTCTTGTCTCGCGGCATCACCACTCAAAAAATGTTGAAAAACACAATATATTAATAATTTGATATTTTTGTATTTTCAGTCCTAAAAACGCATAATCTAAATTCTCTAAAAACTGAAAAAAACAAAACGTAAACTCATTTAGTACTTTGTATAGTGACCGCCTAAATGCTGTACTGATATGGACACGTCATCAACCGCACGAGAAATAACGCAATGTGGTTTCTTATTATACTAATCTATCTTTTAGTATATAGTCGTTGGATGGAGTTGGACGATGTTGTGATAACTATGAATCGTTATTGTGATTAGTTAAATTCAAATAAATAAAATTATGTTTTCTCAAATCATTGATAAATTAAAATATTTTTCTGGAAAACAAATATGAAATCGATAGAAAAACATCCAGATGCTGCGTTAGACTACACAATTTCTTGTACAATTTAAATTGTATAGTATTATACAGTAAATTGTTTAAAAAATCAGATTTTTCAAACAATTTACTATATGATATTACACAATTTAAATTGAAATTGTCTCAAATCTTGTACAAGAAATGGTGTAAGTGGTCTAAAGCAGTCTTTAAGAACGTCAGTTAACTAAGATTAAAATAATTAAATGAAATATCGTCCAACTCTAACAGACATTCATTATAATGACGTTTCTACAATTAAGAATTTTGTCATTATTTTTTTCAGACACCATGTATATGGTATCAGACCCAGAACCCATAGCGCTTCCCATAGGCTTCGAGACTCTGCTGACCTGCGAGATGAACATAGAACCAGATAAGTTCGAATGGAAATTCTACCCAACTAACGATCCATACGATCCCAATGCGTTTATTAATTTGAGCAATTCCACATTCCAAATCATATCGGAAGATAGGTACACAAAGCAAAGGAAAAAGTCTGGGCTGACGTTGCGGGTAAGTTTTTTTTTTACTAAAGAGGGTTCTTGCTTCATATTTTCACACCAAACCAATATTTTCCAAATTTTTAATATCATTTAAAAATGTGAACGAATTGAAATTTAAAAATTTTGGTTTAGAATTCTGTCGAAACTAAAATCAGCACCAGCCTTATCAGTCATATTGAAATCCTGTTTCTGTACAAAGTTAAGAAGTGATTAATAAATATGTTTTGAACTCTTTGGAGGTATACAGGGTGTCCGAAACTTGCGTGTACATGGAGCTAACACATATTTACGGGCTCAAAATAAGTTGATTTGGGGGCTATTTATGTTCCCTTGATATTAGTTTTTGTATTAGTGTTATGATTAAGCATTAAACTAGACAAAATATTTAAAAAAGGTATTTATACTCGTTTTATCTGCTTCTTCTTTTTTTCAATTGTTGTAGGCCTAAGCTGCGAGGACTATTCGGCCTAGGGTAATTGTTTTGGTGTATTTAATTTTTTTATGTATAAATGTGGATATGGTAAATGGTGTATATTTTGAATAAACTTTTGCCGAAAGGACACTTTGTCATTTTTTCATTTATGTTATGTTATTATGTTGAGAATGGGGTGTTAATACACTGCGACCTAAAAGATCTATTGTGCCCCCTTCTGTCGCCATTGCACTAAGGAAATGTCTTAATGCCTATAACGACCCTTCCAATCTTATTTTCTCAAGGAAGTGTAGGATTTGAAGTGACTTCAAGTTAGGTAAATCTCCCTCGTCTATTTGATATCCTCCTAGATATAGTGCCCTTGAAATCGTGCTACACATTCAGTTAGGATGCGAATGGAGGTTTCTTCCTCCTCCTCACAGAATCTGCACTCACTCTCATCTACTAATCTCAGTTTACTTAGGTGTCCTTTTAGTCGGCAATGCCCGGTAAGGATCCCTGTTGCAATACCTAGCCTGTTCTTGCTCAGGCAGATGCAGGCTTCCGATTTTTTCTGGTTATATTCACCCGGAAGTATCTTGGCCTGTCTCAGCCCCAAGAGATTGTTCCAATTATCGGTTCATCTACTGCCCAATTCTTTTTTAATCTCTCCTTTTTCATTTAACTTGGTATTTAATTTTTAAAGTCAGATGGTCACTTTTACACTAGATATTTTGTGATTATTAATGGTAGTGGGCTTCAAGACTCCAGATTGGGAGACCGCCATTTCAATGTTGCCAGGACGATGTCCGAATGGGAAGTCCTACTCGTTTTATAATTAGTATTAGTGGTTCTTTTTTAATAATATTTTTCCTAATAAGATACTTCTGTAGTCAACAAAATGTTGGTTACTGAAGAAATGTGTAAGAGACCTTTGCTTCCTCGTGGTGACATGTCATTTGTCAACTTTATACTCGGTACAATGAAGTAGTGAGGGGTAGAATGATAACTGTCAATGAAAAAGTATAGACACTATGCACAATTTCGTTTTGCACATTTTGTAAACAAGATTCGGGTACGGTTTAACAACATTTTGTGCAACAATTATAAAATAGTGCGTCGGAATATAATTAACAAGTGTAAATTAATACTAAATCGAAAAAAAGCACAAATATAAGCAAAATAACAAAGAATTGACGCCAAAAAGCTTACAATAGCCACAACACAAATAAAAAACAAAGCTGAACATGACCATAATCGCTGAACAAAGCCAATCCTGGAATTTGTTTACAGTGTTTACATTTGTTTACGTGTGTAAGAATGGAAGGTTGAACCATGCATAATTTCTACACTTGTGATGGATGCTCAGACTGTACTTTATCATTCTACCCTCTCTACTTCTTTGACTCGGTAAAGACTGCTGATACACAAAATTGTACGAGTATAAAGCGCATGATTTGTACCGAAATATTATCGTTTTCGAGCTTGCTGGAACAAACCTATAAACAACATCTGACAACATAATCATATGTGTATTGTCAATTTTCATTATCCGTTGTCTATTAAAAACAAAAGCCAAATACGTCATTGATTCATTTGATAGAAAAGAAGAAATTTAAAATTTAACATAAAAGTTGAACCTGTCAATTATTAAGTATAAATATCTTCGAAGATAAATATTAATGCTAATAATAATCGTAAATAGAGTATAAATGTCCCCATTACATTGTGAAGGTTCAACCTAATCCGTACTCATAATACTAATGCAAATACTAATAATAAAGGAGTATAAATAGACCCTTTACCTAACTTTATACCAACTTGCTTCGTTTTTACCCTTGGAGGTCAACAAATTAAATAAAAATATCTGTTTTCTTCTGTAATCTCCAAAGTTCAGCCATTTGAAAAGATCAAGCTTATTACTAGGTGATTTATGGCGAATTAGAATCGGCAGGAACAATTTTTCTATTGCCATCATAAGCGTCTCATTAGGGTGAGGGCAACAGAGATCTCTTATTTGCTTTTGCTTAGTTATACATATTTGTATTATTAACTTCACCATCATTCACTCCTTGTTGGAACAACGTTTCCAGAGCTAGAATGATATCGAAGTTATTGTCTAACGAACTTCTAACTTCTAAGAAAATCATTGAGTGTACCTTTTTAGATATTCAAACATTGGCAAAATGTTCATTTTGTGTCATTTACGACAGTGGTACAATGTTTGGTCAAGCGAGAGAAAAACCGTGAGATGCGATGTGTTGTTTGCTACAATAAACTTTCCATGGAATACACAGTGACAAAAGCAAGAAATAAAGCTGCAAGAAGTACGTGTCAATGTAAAGCGTGTAATAAAAATTTCTGCGTGGAATGTTTTTTTGTTCAGCATTCTAGTTCGCTCCCATAAAATTTTATTTTTTTACTTATTTTCTTTTTCATGATTTAATTTTATAATTTTTTATTATTTTACACATTTTTTGTAACTCTCATGATTTATTATAATTTCATACGGATTTATTTTGGTTGTTCTGTATTTTTTACCTCTCAGTTTTATTTTTCCGAGGAGCATTGCATAATTGTATGTATCAGGCCCTCTAATTCAACATCCCATGCTAAAATATACGTTAAATGTACCAATTCCCAATTCATGAGCCTGAACGTTCCGATCGTTGCAGTTGTAACACTGGTCCAAACGTAAATTTCGTTGGGGTACGCGAATGTACCAGCATTTGTACCACGTGGCGGTTAACGTGTTAAACTATAATTCTGTAAATAGTACACATTAATGCTATTTATGTATTACTTCAGTGAGCTCACTAAATTATAATACACCCACTAAACTTAAACCACTCTAATCTATCTAAATTCCTTTATTAGGTGAATAGTACTCATACTGCTGGTGACTATCAATGTCTAGCGTACTATGGAGCGTACGTAGTAGCTTCAGTACCCTGGAGATTAACCATAGCCGTCCTGAAGGAATTCCCGCGACAAGATAACGCCGACCCAGTTGTCTCAGTCGGTAACACCGTCCATTGGAGATGCTTCGTTCCCGAATCGAACCCAGAGGCGTCCATAGAGTATTACAAACGAGGAGAACTGATCGGTTCTCCGGTTCAGCGAAGTCAATCGAAATCATTGGTGTTACCTAACGTTACTACTGAAGATACGGGAGTGTACACTTGTAGGGCTACGAATACTATGAAAAATGTCAATTCCAGTGCCTATTTATATTTAAGAGTTGTTAAATATACGTCCTACATGAAGCCGTACTTCATTATCGAACCTAGGAAAACTTATACCGTACTTAAAGGTAATTAAGCTTACTGCAACACTCTTCCTAGACATCACTTATTTTTTTTTATTATTTAGGTGATTCTGTCCTCTTGGAGTGCGCAGCCGTCGGCAATCCTGTACCAAAGGTAGTTTGGTTCAAGAAGAACGGTCAGTTACCATCACCCCGTATAGAAATGTTAAACGGCGGTCTAAAAATCGACAACGTCAAATCTTCAGACGAAGGGCAGTATATTTGTAATCATACCAATTCGTACGGTACAATTTCACGTGAAATATCCTTAATATACCAAGAGGAACCCTCCATAGACTGCCTCATCAATAGAACGGAACCAAAGCAAGGCGAATACTTAGATCTACAATGTACGGTCAAAGGAGTGCCTCTACCCCACTTTTCTTGGTTCTTGAACGGTTTTTCCGTCTTGAACGACACTCTGGTTGAGGTTATGGGTAGCAGGATTAATTTCACTAGGATCGAAAAGAGGCACGCCGGAAATTTGCAGTTATTCGCCAGGAATATAGTAAAGACTGTTTATAGTAGTATATACGTAAGCGTGATACCCTTAGGATCGACAGATACGTCAATAGCTCCTACTCGTCCTCATAGGAAGTAAGTAGTATTCCACTCTTATATTGCGGGTCACAGTTAAAATTTAATATTGGTCTTACGGCGCGCTAAGTTGCTGCTTACATTGAAAATATGATATAAAGGGTACTCAGTCTATCACATTGATTCGTACTTTGGAATGCTTCATATATTACTCACGCATGCATAAGAATCTACTTTTTAACGACCACTACACAATAGTAGTTTGTGCAACAAGAGTGGATATGGACAATCCACTCGAGTTGTACAGTACATTTTTTCTACGACCCACTAACGGAAATCTATAAATTAAAAAAATATTTTAGGTTATTAAAACAAAATAACTAATTTTAAAATAATTTATGAATTTTAATGATTTTTAAAATAAAATAAATATGAAAAAAAAGTAGTCGCCAGCCGAGAATCGATCCCCGGCTTTTCGTGAGGAAGTCCAGCACTCTGCCCATGCCTCTACGGCCACTTCTACGATTTTGGTTTTAATACTTGTAATTAAAATAGTTTCATATGGTATGATTAAATTTTTTTTTCAAAATATGGTTCAAATAAAAATAGAAATGCTATTATTTACGATTATTTATCGATTCTACACAAAAATAACTCATTTTAATGTATATTTAATCTTAATAATTAAAAAATATACTGACAATTAGTTTGACAGGATTGTCACTCATTTAAAATTTTAAAAATAATAGTTGGATGTCCAAAATATGAACCGTGATTAGCGAATTTTATTTTTTTGCAGTGTTCTCACTACCTAGAATGGATATAAAATATATTCGTTCAGTTGAACGCAATGACATACTTTTTCGTTTTGTAGTCTGTGCGTAGATAAGCTAATATCCATGTGGGTGTAGAAAAAAGTACATATCCGCATTGTTATTTAAATATCAAAGCAGGCACTTCTATGCACGTTCATAATAGTTTTTTGTTTGATTTGTAAAAATAGGCTAGTTAACTCAAAATTCTTTCGGATTACACTGATCTTACCCTTTTCTTAATAAATTATATGGTTGTTGATGTGCGATTTTTATTTTTACCGCTTTTCACGTAAAATTTACCGTTGCTTGGATTAGAATCATGTTAAAATATTTAAAAAATATATTTTATAATATTGAACATAAGTTTTTAATGGTCAATTTGGAATTAATTAAAATCTCCCCAATATTTATATTATTGTTCCTCTCTGCCTTATTTGGGCCTCTTACGGCCTACTCCAGATAGGTCTGGTGCACGTGTCGGTTCTTAGAGGAAAGGCCATCTAGAATTTTTAGGACATGTCTAGAGCGTTACCTTTGGGTATATAAATAAGACTGTTTTACTATTTGGAAAGTTCAAGTTTAGATATCGATGTGAGCATATTAATATTTTAAATATAAATTAGTATATAAGTAAACGTCAGGATACAGTAAATAAATAGTGGGTGAAAATGCCAAAAAAACTGAGTGATTTAAAAGTGACCGAGATACGTCGGGAACTAGAGGATCATGAACTGGAGACAACAGGCAAGAAAGCAGAGTTGGCAAATCGACTTAAAAAAAAGCAATAGAAAGTGATGGTATTAGTCTGGAAACTATTTTCCACTCATGTGTCTTCTATAATTTCTTCAATTTTGTTTGATATCTCTTCTTTGGAAAATGAAAGTTCCTTGCTATATTTCTCTCCTAGATAATAAAGTTTCTTCTGACATTTCTTCATTAGAAAATAAGGTCGTTTCAGATATCACTTTCTTGAAATATAAAGTCTCTTCTGCTATCTCTTCTTTTAAAAATCAAATGTCTTCTGATATGACTTCTATGAAGAACGAAATTTCTTCTGAAATGTCTTCTGTAAAAAATGTCATTTCTCCTGATATTTCTTCTATGGAGGTGAAAATAAAAGAGATGCAAAAGAAAATAGAGCAAATGGAGAAAACGAAAAGGCAAGTGGTGAAAAATAGAGAAGAGGCCAAGAATGATGAAATATAGGTGTTAAAGCCTCAACTTTCGAAGCTGATAAGTTGTTAGTTTTTGAGTTATTGTGAAAAATATATTTTTTTCCGAAATTTTCAAATTAAATTAAGCTGTTTTCCCAATACAACCTTCAAACCGTTCAAACTTCTAGAACATATTGTTAGTGCCTAAATGAAGTTAATTTTTAAGTGGATTACGTATAATTTTAACTTTTATGGATAAGCCATTGGCTTCATCGTAGAGTTTTCTCCGGAAAAACGTAATAGCCGCTTTATTTTCATGATAACTCTTGTCAGTTTTCATACTAACGACTTCAACAGAAACTGTTGTAAAAGGTCTTTTCAAGCTCTAATGAGTTTTCTGCTAAAAATTTATTGTTTTCTGTTTTTCAACGTTGGAATAGGCCAACGAACAAATAGTCGCCTTCAACGAGTAATAATTCGGTTCGTTTTTTTTTAAGACGAATTTTTTAAATTAAAAATAAACATTTTCATTCTGGAATAACTCGAAAAATATTGATTTATCGAAAAAAACTTTAATCAATCGATACCTGCAGTTTTTTTTTATTATTAATTACCACCCCGAGAAGACGTATAACAAAATCCACTTACAAAATTAAAATGTAAATTAAAATAAAGAAAATGAACTTTGAGTGTGAATATCTCGAAAACCAATCACTTTATGAGTTCCCAACTAGAGTACAAGATTTATTTAAAAAACATAAAAAAATTCAAATTATAGTTCAAATAAGTTTTTGGACAGTAGCGTAAAATTTAGAGAGGATAAAGATTTTACTCATCGATGCCGAACGTCACTGGAAAAGTTTATTTATTTCTTTTTGCTGAAAGGTGTATTCTATGACACCAAAAATGTTTGCCGAATTTAGTAAAATTACGCATAAAAAATTCTAGCCATTAATAATTTTTGAATTTTCAACATTAAAGTCTTGTATTTCGGAAACAAGTTTCATTTAATCGTCTTATTTTTAATTAGAGAATATTCAGTTGTTCTGTGTCCCATTCTTAATGTAACAACCTTGTTGTATATATAATGCTTGGCATTATATATACATTATACTCTTCACAGTTTAACATACCCCTTAATCTTCATTTTTAATCAGATTTTTTCAAAATCAATAGGCTTCGACCCTTATAGAGCTTGACTTTTCTTGAAAATTTCAAGTACGGACAAAAAACGTAACATTGGACGGACGCACATTTTTAAAAGTTTGAAATTTGATGAGATGGATTTTGGTATAAAACGTTTTAAATTTGGATCAAAATGAAAAATTTTGGTTTTTCGAAAGTAAACCCACAATACTCTCTATCTGTGAAGAGTATAATAATTTTGCCATTACTTAAAAAAATTGGTAATTTGGAAAAAATATGTACGTTATCAATAACTTAATAACTTGAGTAATCAAGTTACCTACTTTCAAATCTTTATTTAGTTTCCTTTAAGATTATTGAAAATTACTGACAAAAAAATGGATAACGTCGTTAATATTAATTTTTCTACACCCACATGGATATTAGCTTATCTATGCACAGACTACAAAACGAAAAAATATGCTATTGCCTTCGGCTGAACGAATATATTTCATATCCATTCTAGGTAGTGAGAACACTGCAACAAAATGAAATACACCAATCACGGTTCATATTTTAGACACCCAACTACTATTATTTTTAAATTTGTAAATAAGTGACAATTCTGTCAAACTAAATGTCAGTATATTTTTTAGTTATTGAGATTAAACATAAAATAAGTTATTCTTGTGTAGAATCGATAAATAATAACATTTCTATTTTTATTTCGTCTATAATTATAAATAATTTATTAATTTAAATAAAACTCTAAGAAGTCAATTTAATTATGAATATTAAAACAAAAAATTAAGCGCATAGATGGTCGTGTGGTCAGCGTTCTTGAGTATCATACAGAAGACTCGAGTTCAAATCTCGGAGTAAGTAAAATATCTTATATTAATAGAGATATGAAATAAACTTTAAATTACACAACCCGTAAAAATAAATATATCGTGAGAAAGTACATAATATTATCAGTTAACGAATACGTCGATTAATGCACTATATTTGTTACAGTATGATGAACTAACTCTTGGAAAATAAGTTAATTTAACAACAACTTTTCGTATTTTTGATGGGTTTTAACAGTAGTGCAAAGAAAATGACATACATTTATTTTCAAATTGACTAATTTCGGAAAATATAGATATTTCTATATCATGAAAGAACCAAAAAGATTCGATTGAAACAATAACTGAATTGATTGTGAAAGTATCGATCATAAAAATCGATTATGAGAAATATGTTAAAAAATCGACAATAAAAAGAATCGATTGTAAATAAAAAGTATTGATTATAAAAAATACAATCGAGTTCCGGTGAAGAATCCAGATGCACTAATTTCGAAGTTTTATCACTAAATTATTAAAGTGACTTACTTTTTTAAACATTTTAACAAAAATTAGATACAGAAAAATATTTTTTATTTGCAATTTTCATTTATATTATTAAAACCACTATTTTCACTGTTTAACCTAACTTTTAACATAATTTTCTGCATCGAAACGTAAACTGACGTAAATTCGTGATTCAAATTAATTTTCGCGCGTTTGTTTTGGGCGGGATTTTGTATTTGTGATTTTTTAATTATTGTTTGATAATATTCTCATTATAATAGTGTTTTTGAGTTTCATTTAGTGTTAATTTAAGTTTTCGTGCTTTCATCATAAATATAATAGTGTATATATGAATTAATTTGTTTCAAATATTCATCTATTGGTTGCTACACGAACATCTAAAAATATTTATGCACTGGTTCAATGATGATGTATTTATGGTTCCACTGACAATTAAAGTGACAGTAGATTTTTTGAGTGCGTTTTGTTCGTTTTTTTTACCTAAATTGTACCGTTTCTTCACTTTTATAAATATATTCCTAAAGTAAGTAGATAACATGCATCAAATATTCAATCGTTTAGTTACCAATTACATACCTTTAAACTATTTTTTATGACCTGTAAACAATATTTAGAAATAAACTAAAAACAGTAAAAACGTATACGTCAAATTTATTGATGTTTATGTTAAAAGTTTGGTTAGAATTAAATGTCAGTGGAACCAAAATGACATCACACTGAACTAGCGCATTTACTAAACCCAGGACATGATTTATTATTAACGTTAATTATTGATAATAGTATATTATTAAACTAGCAATTTATGATAGCCATTATTCACGCATTAGTCACCCGAGTGAATAATGGCCATAAATTGCGAGTCTAATACTATACTTTGTCCACGACCATTATGGTTTCTTTATTAAATAAAAGTTAAGTGTAGAATGGAAAGTTTTTATTAAACATAGGTAACTAACTGTTGTTTTTTCGATTTTCGATTTTCGTTTTTAGATTTTCGATTTTCGATTTATCGATTTTTTGATTTTTCGATCTAGAAAAGATCGTTATGAAAAGTATCGCCTATCTTTAGTTATCTATCGGAATGTGCCAGAATTACAAAAGCGTGAATTATCATAATTCACTCCGTGATATATGGGTACTATATGCTTTTAGTTACTATCCTTATTCTTGTATTATAAGGTGAATTGTGTAGTACTTTGTATACATGTAAATGGTAATAAATCAGTCACAAATCCGATTTCAGTTTGATTCCAAACAAAATTTTGCAAAATCTCAATAATGTGAATTTGTAGATATCCATTTATCATAAGAAACAACATTTTACGACTTACGCTTGGAAAATAATAAACATTTCAGTTTTGATTTTGACATTAACACTATGTAGATTGCAATTTGTTGGGGGCTTTTTGCAAATTTCATTTTTATTTTTTTAAATTTAAAGCTCGCAAGTAAGAAAAACTTCGAATTATAATTGATATAAATTAAAATATAAACAGTGAACAGAAACGCCAGTGTTGCCAAATGATGAACTGATTTTAAAATAAAATGAATAAATGGAACTAAAATTTAAAAAAAAATCAATATAATAAATCGGTTTTATAAAAAAATCCTTAAATAAATATAGAGTATGATTACATATTACTTGACACAAATTTTGCTACTTAAAAAAAGATCTTATCCACTTTTTCAAGGGCAAAAAATCCAAGGGCATAGCGAAATTTCGCTACTCCTGGCAACACTGATCAATATCCTACAAATTTCCTCCAGAGGGCGTATCACTTAGCATGAATCGCGAATTCATGAAAATTATCTTTTTTGACATAAGCGGCCATATAGTCTGCAACGTTGTCATATTGAAATTGTGTTTTGAAGGTAAGAACTAGAAGAAAAATAAAATGAGTTGGTGAATAAGTTCAAATACCAATAAATTTGAATTAATTTTGAAAATTTCGAAAACAATAGTTGGAACTATAAAAATTCGAATGACAAAACTTTTAAAATATAAAAGTTCGAATGACAAAACTTCTAAAATTCAAAAGTTCAAATAACTAAAAAACTTTGAAATTAAATAAACCTGCGGTTAGTTAAGTATTTTTAATTTTTCTCATTTTATGTATAATTTTGCTATGAAGCAACCCGCGATGGCTCCAGGTCGCACAGGTTAGTTAAATTAATTAAGTATTTTTTTATTTTCCTCATTTTATGTATTATTTTGCTATGAAAGATTCCGCGATGGCTCTAGGACGCACCCATTTTGTCTTAACATCGATTGTATTAATAAAATTTCAGGTATGCAATAAGTCTTATTTTAGCATGGAATTTATTTGCCTCTAATTACGTTGTCACTATTAGTGAAATTTGCAATAACTCTCTAATTAGTATCTTTAATATTTGTAATTTTATTTACAATTTGGCAACATTGTTGTTCTCAAGACAGAATTTGACAAAATAACCTACAAAATCGAGATTTTTAAAAACAATTTTCTTGAAAAATAGTTGTTTTGTTACTTTTTAATGTTTAAATTTTTTTTTGAGAAATTCGTCCCTCTGGATTCTTCACCGGCTTCCATAATCGATTGTAAAACAAGAAGTGTATGTAGAAAAGACTTGATTGTAAAAAAGAAATAGTGTGTAAAAAAACCTTCTCTACATTACCCTATGCTAGCTATACTAAATTTTAACTGTCTTTTGGATTACAGATATAACCCATTTATAATCTACAATTTCAATTATTTTCATCTTTTTTTTAGGCATTCTTCTAGGCGGCCGGCGAAGCACAACAAGCCTCCTAAACTGATTCCTCCCAGCAAGCCCGTTATTTCTAGGCTGAACGATGAATCCGTGGTGGTTCGTTGGAACGTTTCGCAAGATACGGGCTTGCCAATTTCATTTTTCAAAGTCCAGTACCGGGAATTGGGTCCTGCGAATCCCATGCCTCACAATGCAAGCAGATCGAATAGATGGAAGACCGCCAATTTCGATATACCGCCTAATATCAGGAATTATGATATTACTAACTTAAAGTCTGATCATATTTATAGGTAAATCTTGTTAAAATTTTAATTTTATTTAATATTTTGAGCTGAATTAGTGTGGCGCAAGAGTTGTTTCCATTAGACTTTCTAGCTAGGACTATAAATAAGTTTACATTCAAATTAAACATGTAAAATCGTGAATTATCTGGTAGTGGCCATTTTTTGAATTAACTTTTTCTTAAAACTTTCATAATAATTTAATAAAAGTAAGGAAAATATCAAATCGTCTAGAAGAGGTGAAAAAATGCTTTCTTAAAAGAATAAGGGTTTGTTAAATTTAATTCCAAGGTTTAGTTTATATTGATTTTTACTTACACCACAAATAAAATAAAAAGAAACATTATTATTAAAGAAATAAACAAGATATATCAAAAATATAAAAAAAAAATTATTGATATGCAAATAAATTTACTGAAGGATATCAAAACTTATATATGCAATGGTAATTATTAAATTTAATAACATTGACTTTAAAGGGTTTAACAATGCATAACTTTTAAGAGAATTAGGAATTTCTATATCAATATATACCGGGTGTCCCGAAATTAGACGGTTATGTTTTAACAGCGTAATCTACATCCTAAAATAGGAGTAAAAGTTTATATAAACATAGGTGCGAAAACGTTTTGTTTTCGATATACAAGGTAATAAAAGTCCTGATGATACATTTTTGTAAATATTTTCTAAACTTTTAAAGATAACTAAGTGAAATTTGGTAGAAATGCTAAACTTTTTACGCTCTATTTAATAAATTAAACGCTTTTTTTATCATCTTTATAGGTGGGTATATTAGGGGGGAGCTTAGAGTTAAATTGTCCTAAGTTTTTTTGACTACAAAATTTGGAAAACCATTATTTTCTTTATAATAAAGCTACTTTTTTTGTATCTCGCTAGGACGCACCATTTTCAAGAGAAAAGCATTCGAAAATTTCATGATAAGTTGATGTTATCTTATTCGAAAGTTTAAACAATAATTAGTAGGCTTGTGGAATTAGAAATTTTGTTTTTTTTTAACTTTGGAAAACCGGTAACTAAAGAAATTTTAGAAAATATTTACGAAAATGTGCCATCAGAACTTCACTTATATTACCCTGTATCTCGAAAACGAAACGTTTTCGGACCTATGTTTATATGAACTTTTACTTCTATTTTAGGATGTAGATTACGCTGTTAAAATATGACCGTCTAATTTCGGTATATTACTAATACTAATATTTGTTAAAAAGCAAAAATTATCTTTAATAGAAACTATAAGTAGATTTACTGGGCAGAATGAAATAAAAAATTTTGTTTGGGTTACTAACATTACCCAGACAGCACACCAATCCTTTGGATATCTACTGAACATCCCAATATCCACTGAAATTATTAAAAAATTACGCCATTTTACTCGCCATTGTGGCTTATAGTACCGTTCAGAGATTTAATAGTACATTATATACCTAGGGTGAGAAGTGAGCTATTATTTACTGAGCACTTTTATATCCTGAGGCGCGTAGCGCCGAGGGATATAATGTGCGAGGTAAATAATAGCTTTCTCAGCCGAGGTATATATAGAATTTTTTTTACTACTAACATTAATGTATTAGCAATTTTAATTTTGACATAAGTAATTTCCTAACAATTTGTTAAATATTTCGAAATATCAAGCAGACTGGAGCGTGTTTCTAATCAGACTGGCTTTATTTATGTAAAAATTTGGCATGTGTCAAATTTTGGTATGATTCTAGGAAATATCCCATTGCATTTTTGATATTTTAATGACATGGATTTATTGTTATTAATTAATAATTTTTAAAGCCGGTGTTGAATTTCCTAGTTAATATATATTTTTACTATTAACACTGATATATATTATCATATTTGATTTGATTAGATTTTAATAAACCCAGCTTTAGTTATTTCCTACTTATTTTTCAAATATTTCAAAATATCAAGTAGTCTGGAAGTTTAGTTGTCAAATTAACAAAATGAAACTAATGAAATTTAGTTTCATTATTTACCTAGGTTTTTTTTTTATTATCATTATTTACCTAGGGAGAGAAATATTACTTCTCATTAGAGGAATGGAGTAAATAATGGTGATTTCTCATGTTAGTAGTAAAAAATAGTACATTATATACCTAGGGTGAGAAGTGAGCTATTATTTACTGAGGTAAATAATAATAATATAAATAATTTTTGAAGCCTATTACCGGTGTTGAATTTCCTAGTTAATATATATTTTTACTATTAACACTGATATATATTATCATATTTGATTTGATTAGATTTTAATAAACCCAGCTTTAGTTATTTCTTACTTATTTTTCAAATATTTCAAAATATCAAGTAGTCTGGGAGTTTAGTTGTCAAATTAACAAAATGAAACTAATGAAATTTAGTTTCATTATTTACCTAGGTGTTTTTTTATTATCATTATTTACCTAGGGTGAGAAATATTACTTTTCATTATAGGAATGGAGTAAATAATGGTGATTTCTCATGTTAGTAGTAAAAAAAATTAATTTTTTAAGGTGTATTCAATATCCCATGGACATCCACTAAATATATCAAAGTCTAAGCGCGAACGCAAACCATCGTGGATATCCACTAGATGTTATTTGATTTTGCTTACTAAGTATAGATGGCGATACCACTTTCGCATCTACTCATGCTCGACCCGCCGTAATTGAGTTCGATCGAAATTTGTGTCCTAATCAGACTCCATTAGAGATTGGAGTCGAGAATTTCCATTTATTGCTGAAGAGTCCTAATAAGGATGACTTTCTCCTTAGTGGGCAAAATCAAAGGCAGAGTGTTGAAAATATTTTGAGTGTTGAAAATATTTTTTATCTCTGCTATTTTCTTTCGACGTTATTCAATAATCATTGGTTACTTATGAACCTCTACTAAAGATACCCATAAAATATTTTGCTGAATATCCGAATATCTTCTATATCCTGGGATATAGACGGACATTTGGTTGGATATTCATATTAGATATATTGAATATCCACAAAATATATTCTGTGGATGTCTCTGGGATTTCTTGTATTGTCTGGAAGATACCCATTAGATATTTTGCTGGATATCCATTAGGATATCTTCTATATTCTGGATATAAACGGACATTTGGATATCCATATTAGATCCACGGAATATTTCTGATATCCTGTGGATATATTGGATATCCACAAAAGATATTCTGTGGATATCTCTGGGATTTGGTGTGTTGTCTGGGTATATAACTTTCCTTCACACTTTTTACAGACTAAGGACTGTTGACACAGATATGCCGGCGTATTTAAAAATTATTTTATTTATTTTTAAGTAGTTTATTTATTTTGTTTTTGATTTATTTTTTGTTTTTTTTTTGTACAAAGAAAGAGTTTTCAAACATTTTAGAAGATCATTTGTTTGTTCCTTATCTTATCAATGCGCTCATTTAATTGAATGTGCGTTTTCTTTCTTCGTTTTCCCTCTAAATTTAATGTTTTCCTTTTCGATAACAAATCCGAATATATGGACTCGTCTTTTAGGTACTTACTTAATTGTATATGTAGGTATATGTTCGATGATTTTCACTTAAGATGTTCCACACATCAATGTCTAGGACTGAATTTTCCATCCATTGTTCAATGAAATAATTTTGAAATTGCTGTAACTTTGAAGTAGTAGGGACACCTTTCATAATGCTCAACCAACCATTTTTTACTTCCATGGGAGGAATATATGCTAACTGCACACATACGTATATGTAATCTGACTTCCGAATTTTGTTTATATTCTTCGGTCAGTCCCAACTCTTGTACTTTCCTTCATAAGCATTGATTGAAATGGAAGTTGCAACCAATAATTCTGATGTTTGGAAATGTGCTTCCTGCTTGCTTGTTTGGGGTTCTATGACTGCGGATTTTACATCCATTCATTAAAGCTGCTATTGCAGCCATTTCAAAGTAAATTTTTACTGTTTTAGGCGACCACCTGGGAAGTTTTCTTTTATTATTTCACACAATCTAATATAGATTTTCTTCTGCTTGTTTTGCTGTAGCGCAAACATTACAGGTGCCTTTGCTTCCTATGTTTACATGAAACGAATATAATTACAAGAATTGTATACATCAACTTTTGAAAGTTTCGTCTATAAATATTGTTTCGGCTGTACTGAGTAGATTTTGTCCACAATCCGATGAAAACACCATTTTTCTGTACTCTGGCTTATCATCATCAGCGTATAAAAACGTACATCCATCTTCCATCGCATAAATATCGTCTGGAAGGACAATTTCTTTTGCACTTGACGATTCTCAAACCACCCTCGTGCAGCATGTCAAATCCGGTTGACTGTTCTTTTGACAGATGAATACAACGGAACGGCAGCAATCAATTCATATCCCATGTCTTTCACAAGTACTATTTCTTCTTTATATAGTGTCCTTATTGTTACGTCCTCTTCAGGTTTACAATTGTGGTCCACAGTATGTTAAATGATATCGTTATTGCTCACCATAGCTCCTTTACACATCTCGGACTTCCCTTTGGAGCAAACCCAGCGTATGTTAGTATTTTTCGCTACTTTTTGCTTTACAATTTGCAACGGACTATAAACGTAATTGCTCCTCTAAAAGGCATTAAGTAGATTTAAACAAATATTTTCTTGGTAAGTAAATTATAATATTCTTTGAAGTGTTGTGTACAAATTACTATTATCTTAGTGAAGGAAAGTTATACAAGGTATTTAAAAGACACTTATCTAAATCGATTTTTTCCGTCATTTTCAAATATGCAATCAGTTATAAATTTGGTTACACAGTGTGTTGTTTTTGAAACGAAAAGAAATGATCAAATTTTGTTACGCCGGACCTGGATTTGAACTATTATTATTTACCATTGTAAATATCTACCGAGTGCTATAACTTTTGGTTAAAATTACCTGTATTTCGGAAATTAAGTGTTTTTGGACATAATATGTTTATTAAAAAAATTTTTTTGGTGTTCCCTACTACTTTTAAAAGTTTGGCGGTATATTAATGGGACACCCTATATACGTATATTTCATTATTTTTGCAATATCGAAATGATTCTACATGACAAATTGGAAATTTTTATACCGAAAGATGGTTGTTGAGTTTTGGCCCAATCATCCAAGTGTCTTACGCTTACAGTTAACGTACTTACTCTTAACTCTGAAACACCCTGTATATATTAGTAAACCAAAAAATCTACTTTCATTATTCGACGTCTGTTTGGGATTAACATGGGTAGGGTCGCAACTATCTCACTTAAATTTTATCATTACTCGAAAAATCAAGAGAGGATCTCAAATGTATCGAGGGCCCATCTGTCCCGACACCTCATCACCATATAATTTCATAATTCTACATAATCTACATTCATTCGTTTCAAAGAAAATACCTTGTTGGTAGATTTTTTCTATCTGTCTATGCTAGTGCCTCGGCCAACAACAAGCTAACAATCGACAAAAAATGTAAATGAAGCATTAAAAATAAAAACTGATTTAATTAATGTACGAACTGTTTTATTTCTGATGCTTCAGGCCAAATTATTAACCAAATGTATAATGTAATTATGCATGAATTGACCCTAAATAAAGAAGTAACAAAGTGTAAATATTTGATGCTCTACTTTTGAAAATAGTATTTATCAAAGTTGCTAGAACATTCACGTGTAATATTATTGTCGCTTACGATTTTATGGGTCTATTATTTAGAATCAATTTTAAAATGGATTTTTTCGTTTTTTGTTGCATATATTATTTCATCATTTTCAGGTTTAGAATAGCCGCGGTGTACAGTAATAACGATAACAAGTTAAGTCCCAATTCCGACAAGTTTCATTTGAAGAAATTAGACTTTGACGTTAGGAACCCATTGCCTACTCCTATTATAATCCAAACCGAGACCATAAACACTACGTCTGTGAAAATTTATTGGAACGTAAGTAGTTTTTGCAACCAATTTCGATATTTTTTTAAATCATATTTTTTTGCATTTCAGTGTCCAAGCTACGAAAACATCCCTATAGATGGATATTATATTAGTTTCATGTCGGCTTCCACAGCTGGTGATTACATGAAAGCCACGGCAGATGGAAAAAATACAAAAGAATACGTCATAACTCATTTACAACCGGATACGATATACGATGTAAAATTGCAAAGCTTTAACTCGAAATACGCCAGCGAATTCAGCGCTATTATGAAAGCTAGAACTGAAGGTAAGATTTTTAAATAGGGATCACGGTGATGATAGTTCATGTAGGTAACAAAAGGTTTGTTCCCAAAGCGAGTTCCAAACTTGTTTCAAACATTGAAACATTCAAGCATAATGTACGGAATGAGTTCTGAATAATTGTGTGCTGGAACGTTAAAAAAATTAATGTTTCTAAATGTTTTAACTAAATACAGGTCATTCAATTATATTTAATAAAAAAAATAAGATTTTGAGGTTATACTTTATGATCAATTCAAAATTGCACATATAAAAACTACCCTCCTTATTATATGTTTTGCTGTTACAACGCTGTATAAGATTTTAATTAAAATTAAAAATAATAGGCACTCACAAAACTAACCAAAAACCTAATTAAAAACAAAAAGAAGAAAAATGATTTTAAATAAGCACGCATGCGCGTAAGTAAAAGTTCGTATTTTATCTATGAACCATTAAAACTAATAACAAACATGTTATGAACAAGTTTTTAATCTTACGGAAACACCAAACAAGTTCAATTTGTTTGGAACTTTTCTCTGCTGGAACAGTTATTTTGTACTGCGCATACTCAATATGTTAGGAACTCGCTTCGGGAACAAACCTAATATAAAACGTCGATAAAATGTACAAATTTAATTATAAAATATATTGGTTTTTTGTTTACTATACAGGGTGTTTCCGAACTTGGCGTCCAAATTTGTAGGGGTGGTAGTTCGCATAATTTGAGACCTTATTCGCAGATTTCATTTTTCCAAAATATTTAAAATAAAAATAATTAAAAATTATAAACAGGCACGGTCCTGCACAGCGATGGTACACCTCGACTCGCGCGCGCTACACTTAGAATCGACAAAATTGCAAATCGCATCTGTTTTTAAGGACTATTGCGCTACGCGCTCAGGGTAGGACCTGCTCTTTGGTTTTTTTATAATGGCTCTATTTTGTTTATTATAATTTTTTTAGAAAAATGAAATCTGCCAATCGCTCTCAAATTATGCGAACTACCACCCCTACAAATTTGGACGCCAAGTTCAGAAACACCCTGTACATTATTTATACGGGATGGATCAAAGAGAATAACTGAGTAACTGTGAAAAAATTTGAACATCTACTATATAGAATCGATGGCAGTTGTTTAAAGTAAAGATGACATGAGATAATCGTCGCAGTCAACCCAACAGTTGTAAGGCGAAGATAAGAGAGAGAGATAGCAAAAAGTGTTTGAAAAATTAATGGATTTAAAGGTCCCTCGCTTTTTTCACGCATGAATAATGCGAAATTGTTGAATAATGGAAAAGGTGGACTGTAATCTTATTATCTCTTTAATGTAATTTTCTGTTTGCAGTTTATTTTGCAGTGTGGCAACGGTGTAAAGCAGAAATTACAGTTGGACGAGCTGGTTCATTCATAAAGCGCGTGATCACGCTTCAGATAAACAAACCATCAATTTAGTAGGCGTCTCGGTCTTTCTAAAGCCGATGCACCAGCTCTGTCTGCCCAATATTAAACACGAGCTGAAAACTTGCTAGTAAATTAAGAGTTAACTATGAATGGATTAATCTAGTTTTTCGTTGTTGGTCACGTGGTACACAAAGCCCAAAATAGCGTCGATTTGCTATCTATATATGTTGAAAATATCTTTTTTTTTTTTTTCGTAAATACACTAGCGAACCTAGCGGAGTTTTACTCATACCCTGTTCAATTTTGGTCATTTTTTGTTAGAGAATTAAATTATATTTGCACCATAGGGTAAGAATACTAGCTTTGTCATCAATAATCTAAAACGACTAAAGTCTATAATTTACAAGCCACTTGTTAATATTTTCTTCTTTTCCAGCTGTTCAACAAATACCATCACCAACGACGATGAATCCCGTGATGCCGACACCTAGGGGTGAAAAATCCGAATTTAGTTTGTACGTTATAGTTGCCGGTGCTGTGATAGGGTGTGCTTTGTTAGTCTGTGGCATCACCTTGATATTCGTTTGTAGAAAATGGCAACAGAAAAAATCAGGTACATAATTTTTTATTTAGAAGTGGAATATATTTAAGTTTTACGTTTTTCCAGTGGACAATCGTGATAAAGCAATAGTGGATGACCACACTCTACAACTGGACGGCAACGAGTATGTAGTAGTAGGTCCTAAATCGATGCCCAAATCCAATGGTTGCGCCCCCAACAGGATAACCATCACTGCAAATCCGCTTGCAGATGCGGACAACAAGGTGAGGTACATATTATTTTTATTTCTATCTTTTTTTAGTCTAAGTATGAAATGCGCAGACGGTCTAATACAGAACAGATCAAAACCATTATTATCTGACAAGATTTACGCAGGTTTAGGTTGAAAATGAGTGAGATGATTGCCTTTTACTGCGCTACAGATTGCTCTATTGTGGCTCCATCCTATACGCAGGTCTTATAGTAATATTAGTTGGAAAGTAGATGGCTATTTTGTGTTTGCTGTTTCTTTGTTCATTCATCTATTTTTGCTAGTTGTTGATCCAAAGTCTAGAAGTTTTCTCTGGTGATTCTTGTAGAAGGTTTGAATAATGAGGTCGACTCAAATGTAAAATTTAAAATATTATTTATTTCGTTACTTGTAATTGTACATTTGGCTTACAACAGCATGTTTGAATGATCTTTTTCTAATAAGATATTTGTCCCCTATGCCATCTCTTAACTCATGACGTAGGAGCTGTTTGAAAAATAAAGAATGAATGTTTCACAAATATTTTGTAACTTCTAGCTCTGAAGACGGCGATGTTAGACCACGCCTTCTGACGATTGGGCCAATGAATGTTTCTTTGCATCGAATATTTACAACAACAAAAATTGACGACACGCTGTCAGGTACTTATATGCCTACTTCCGGTCACTTACGTGGAAACTGAATGTACATTTCCTGTTGTAATTTTGTACACTGCCGTCCCTAGTTATTGTGTTACGGATAAAAATATGTTTTTAACAGTAGTGTTAGAACCCGAGAATACCGATCAAGGAGAAGCGACAGTAGCTGTCGGTGCCTTTGATATCGGATGGACCTTTTTCACAGCATGACTTTGATTAATACACAATTTAATACGCTAAGAAAACATGCTTATTTTCTACACTGAGCGAAATAGTTTGGCAAATTACCTAAAATTATTGTTATAGTCCATGCGTAAATGTTGTAATGTGATTTAATTAATAATCATGATATTTACTGCTCGTAGTTCTTTGGAAAAGTAAATAAACTTATTCCTGGCCGGTTTTGGACGAACAAGAACGGTATGCACAAAAATATCCAGATCCAGACATTCTATTACAACACAAAGAAACACCAAAAAATATCACTTAACAGCTCACAGACTAAACACAACTTAGACTGACTTTGACAGATAACATGATTCTGAGTGATACACAACTTATTTTCGCACATGCGCGTATCAAAACGGTAACACCAAGCTGTCGCTTCTCCTTGATCGGTATTCTCGGGTTAGAACTGTCAAAGGACATGGCGCAATACCGTAGGATGAAACTTTTCTTCTTCCTAGAAAACTTTGTCAAGGTATTCCAGACGAAAATCTTTATTATTTCCTTTTGAATCCTTATGATATTTGTTTCTCACAAGGCAATTATATAACATAAGAAACATTAGTAACCAATTTTTTCTGCCTTATGTGAAACACGAGACTTGAAAGGATAAGATAACAGTACTGCATCGTTGTATTTCACTATTAAGTTTCTAGTAGTTATATGTTATATATGATTTTAAAAACATAAAATAATTGTTGTTTATTAAGATTTTCATTTTGAATAGTAAACAGTTGGGCCAACCTTTAAAGAAAGTTTGTGAAATGTAGGTTGTGATTGCTACGAGGATGTCATTCTTTGTCATTGCATCAGTACTTTTCGAAATGTTTATATCTCCAGAACTCAATTTATTTAAGACTTCTTAGTAGAATTTTACTAGAAATTCCTCGATACGGATATATTACTGATGCTCCCTATCTATGAAGCCTCAATATTGCATTCAAGCTGGCGCACGAGAACATTTTCTTATCCCCACTTTGTAACACGTTTCCGAACACCCTGAGATCCAAAAACGCATAAAATCTAGCTTCGTCTTCTGTGCGTGTGTATGTACGCCGACACGATAACTGACAAACTAAAGGTCCGATATAAATGCGATTATAATTTTATTATTTGATCATTTCTTCCAGTCGTTAATTCTATGGATTTTTAGAATGTTTAAAACACAATTAATTTCTTATGGGGCTTATTTTATGCTCTGCGGCATAAAAGACATTACGGTTTCAGGAACAGATACTAATTTCACTAGTTAGTCATGCTTGTCAATTATCAAAATATGATGACGTAAAAAATGAGCCAAACAAAGCAGTTTATAAATATATATTTTTTGAAATTATTTCATTTAAATTACTTTACAATAAAACTGTAGAAGTTAAGTGTCATTTCAAATAGCTATTTCTATTATTTTCAAGATTGTATTCACCCAAAAGCATATTATATCACTGCAATAACTAGACTGAAAATAATTTGGGTACAAACTACTTTTTACGACCTTTAAAACACATGCAATATATTGAGTAGGGCTCATCTAATCAAAAAATTGTTTCTCGAATTTCTCCACTACGGTCCATTTTAGAGAAATCATGTATATAATAAAATATATAGAGAATGATGTCACAAACAACTCTTATTCAAATAATTATCTTCTTCTCTAATCATAAATAACAAAAACGTACTCTAAAATAGAAAATCACCCCTCTATGAAGTACCCCCAGATGCTCCGACTATGTTCAATATATAATCAGCTCATCTCTGGCTAGAATAAAACCAAATATTAAAATTTGTTTTTTTTTCTTCTTTTTATCGGTTTTTGAGATATCGTGGGTACAGACACACACAGCGACATACATCATTACAAAAATGGTCAAAATGGATTCAAGAGACCCCAAAACCTAACGATCCGTCTAAAACTCCAGGTCGAAGAAGATAATGATTTCTATTAGGCATTCCAACGACCTATCAAACAATTGCTGCCGCTCATATATCTAAAGGAAATGCACAACATAGCCTTCCATCTTCGACGCTATTTTTATTTAAAATAATGTCAATTCATAAAAAAAATTGTATAAGCATATTTTCTTTGTGTTCGACATAAAATATTTAAATTTAATCAATTATTCATGATTTCACATGTTTTAAATAGAATACATCATATGTCGCAACCCCTTAGGTATACCAAACCTTCCCACCAATAGCCATTTTATTTGGAATGCCTAACACTTTCCTTACTAGTTACAGGAAAGTAAAAAACTCAAAACTTTACTCGCAAGCAGTACTAAAGCTGTTTCTGACTCTAACTGAACGTTCTTTTTTAATAGTGGTTGTTGCTCTGGAGCAACCTCCACATATTCTTCGCCCCTCAAGCAGTTACTCGATAGCAGGTTCTTGTCTTGTCAGTCGTTCTTTTTTGACTTTATAGAGTTTCATACACCAAGAATATTAAAATTGGGCATTCCAACGACCTGTCCAAATGACTACCAGTGGGTAATGACAGTTTAGATATAAGGCGATTTTAAATCAGTTACTAGAAATGTGACCAAGTCAAGTGTGGTCAAGGTTCTTACGTCATTATAATGACGTTCTAATAATCTGATTTAAAAATGTTTGGTTTATATTGACACTAACTTCACAATGGGTATAACATTGGCAGATATCATGAATTTTTATTTGTGTGTTATGTAATAGTAGTAGGATTTGTTTTTGAATTTGTAGGGATAAAAAATAAATATTTGTTTTGTTTACTGATCATGGATGAAGAGAAAATTGGTATTATAGTTACTTTGGCCTCTGAAATTTTATCAAAACTTTAGTTATGTTCATTAATAAATCCTACCTTGAAAATAAATTGGCTTTTCATTTGCAGAAACCTTAAATGCGTCCATATACCTAGATCAGCCAGGTTTGCCAGACGTCGCGCTTTAGGCGTAATTGTCCCGCTTTTTAACTTGCTGGCACGCGTTACGCCAAAGTACAAAAATGCTCCGCATTTCACCTTATTGCTACGTTTTTTAAATTTAAAGTTATATACAATGATATTTTTGACAATGTTTGACCTGTTTTTGAGAAGCTCAGAAAAAGGAATCTGATGGTTTAAATAAATATAAGCGGAGGACCTTTTTTTAGATCTCTACAAAAAAAGGAGCTTATTTTATAAAAATACCTGTTTTTTTAACCTGATACCCTATCGTCACCATTGTCCCACTTTTCCCTTTCGTAAATCTTTCTTTCTATTTTACAAATAACACAACCAAACAATGATTTAATAATTAAAAAGTAAAAGTTTTACATTTGTCATTTCATTTGACATTTCATACCTGTGATGACCACGTTTTTACTGTAGTCATGTCAAACTTGACTATTTCAAGACAATATTCAATATGACGTCATTGTTTTTGATTTATATCAGTGTAGTCAATCATATTCAAGACATAGTATCTGATTTAAAATCGCCTATAGCAACCCTGTTGTCATGTTGTCATTAACAGGGTCAATGATACATATATAGTTATATAGATTGCTCAAAGCTGGTCGTTTACGAGCGGCCATATTGCCTGGCAAATATTTATTAATTTGAATCGGTTTAGCAAAAATGTGTTTTAAAACCAATTTTTAGCCTTTAGATATTAAAAAAAAAAAAATAATTGCTTACATTTTTACTTCAAGGCATAAGCTTATGTTTATTTTGAAAAATATGGATGATCAATCTATGTAACTATCTATTTCATTGACCTTTTCAAATCACCAATCCTACAGGGTTGCCATAATTTTGCCATATCATAACCCGTCAGAACCCACTGGTAGCCATTCAGTTTGGAATGCCTAATTGGTTTGTCTTTGTTTGGCTCACTCTGACGTCTCATCAATACAGCGTATTGCTGTCATTTTTCAACGTCAAATATTTTGTTTTTTAATGATTTTATTTTTATTTCGAACGTAACATCGATTCCAACAAGGTGGAAACTAATTTAGCGCCGCTCGAATTTGAAGATTGAAAAGTATCAGCTCGTTGTCAGATAATATGTAACTGTATTTATTATATTTTTATTATTTATTTATATTATATTCCATCATTTTGATTTTTTTTAATCTAATTTGTTCTGTATTTACTAATTTCAGTAGACCTGCAACAATAGCTTTTTCTTTCATTTTTGATATCATTTGCTTTAAATATTTTTAGTATAATGCGCTGTTGTCTGCTTATTTGGCCAATATTATTTTTTTAGTAGTACCATCTATATTATTTGTTTATATAAAAAGGATTACTTGAAAATGTTTACAGTCAAACCACAAAATGAGTTTTTTGTTTAGGTAAATTGCAATTGTGATCTATTTATAGAATATCTAGTAGTGGCTCAAACCAGTCTTTGCTTTGCGATATTCAGTTCATACATGCATGTTATTTTTTCTCTATCTTCAGCAAAACTGTAATGGCGTCTATTTATCGCAAGCGCACAGTAGTCTAGGCCCTTGTTTAAACATTCTTCAACATCTCATTAAAAGAATAATAATTTTTGTTCGAAATATCAGTACAATACATTTTAAATCTTACAATGTTAACTTAACCCCATTAACGTTAGTATTCTGAAGATATATGACGAAGTACTTAAGGACCTAGACTAGAATTTCTCATTATTTGGCTTTGAACTAACTACTAATAGCTATGTTTGTGTATTGCTTAGTTGTTTTTTATTACTCACTACTAAACCTAGGTTAATTTCATCTTATTTCCAGAAATTTCTAGCTCGGTTGTTTTCCAGAATCAGAACATGATAGAGATGTCTTGTTTGACGGCGCACGCGCAAAATAACAACTGCGCCGTTCGCCAAGAGTCGTCTTCGGGCGCAGCAGCGGCAGCCGCTGGCACGCAGCCGCACGATTCGCCTGTCAACTCGAAAGAAACCGGCAAGAAGAAGAAAAACAGAGAGAAGAACAGTAGTAATTCGAGACATAAAAATGCTTCGTCCGGGGAAAATTACGTTTAGTTTAACTATACATTTTTTTGCTACTTTTATTGTGATCAAATATAGTGTGTGATTTTAATTAGATAGGGATGTTGCCGGTTTCGAAAATAGGTTTGGCTGTTACTTCGCCTTCAACAATCTGTGAAAATGTCATTGATACCCTGTTTCCTTTGAACATTATCTTGTTTAACGGTGAATCATATATCTCCTTCAAATTGATGGGCTATAAAAACGAATTTTTTGACCCATCGAGGCATAACTATTATAGACGTTTTCGGAAACTTTCTCGGATCAGAAAGATTCCAAATCCTATTGTTCGTTTACCTAGGGTTATTAACCCTATCCATTTTCGGAAACTAGTAGATTGCTGATCCAGTTTTGTGATTGAGATCAGTATTTTCTGATCCCCTCTACGAGTAGATTAGTAATAGATCTGCTTGCGTACCGCACGATTTTATAGAGGAATGACGGAATAACTTTTTTGATATCTGATGTATGACAGTAGTAGCTTTGAAGTTTTCTTTTAACATTAATATTAATTTAGTTACTTAAAACTTGCAATGTTTATGCAAGAGGATAAAAACTTCTGTACCTCTAGAATAATATTCTAAAATCATACTTGCTATAGCGAATAGGTTATTTAAAATAAAATGGGTCTCAAACAAATAAGGGTTTCAAATATTATGTCACGCGGGTAAAGTCAAAAATTAATAAACAGGATTAATAATCCAACTCCTTCGAAAACTGTTAAGTTCAGTGATCCACGTGATTCGTCGGGTAAACCCAGTAATCCGGATTTGTGATTAATATTAGGTTTCCGAAAACGCCTTATGTAGAAAATGATTTCTTTAGGCGTTTTCGGAATCCTACTATAAATAACAAATCCAGAAGACTGGGTTTACCCGATGGATCACGTGGATCACTGAACTTAGTGCCGACAGTTTACGAACGAGTTACATTAGGTTTGTTCCAACACCCGAGAAAACCGTAATATTACCGTACAAATCATGCGCTCTACCCAAAAAATTGTATACAGCGCGCGTGTTGGAATAGACCTATTATTGTTCCTGTTTATCTACGTTTGTCAATTTTTGATTTTTTCCGCGTAACTGTCAATATTATAAACCTTTATTTGTTAACGAACCATTTTAATTAAACATCTGAATTGAAATCTGTCTTAATAAAATCGCAATATGGGCTTTAAGGTCAATTTATAAACTTGCAGTTCGGTCCCCGCTACCGTTTGTTTGACGTTGCAGTTGAACTTAAAACTTTTTAACTTCCAACGGGAACTGCAACTTCAAACGGTAACTGCAACTGCAAGTTTATAAATCGGCCTTAAACATTGCAAGTTATAAGTAAGTAAATAAAGAAAAACCTTCAAAGCTACTACTGACAGACACCAGTCACCAAAAAATTGCGTTATCCCTTTATAAAATCATGTGGTGCGCATGCGGATCTATTACTAATCTACTCGCAAAGTGGATCACAAAATTGATCAGTAATCTACTAGTTTCTGAACAAAGATAGTGTTATTAATAATCTTTCTGATCCGAGCACATACTTTGATTACTATACGGGGCAAGAGAGAGGTCCGACACGCCCAACATAGGGCGCGGCCATTTTGAACCCTATGACACAGTTTATAGCTAAAGAATCAGATCGCTCACTCTGCGTCAGCACTTTTTATCTCAATATTCCAGTTTATACACTGCGCAACTCAGATAATACAATATATGACAACCGCCTATAATGAAACAGCAGTCTTCTGCGTATCCTGAATTTGTATCCCTGGAGTGGATGTTATTTTGGAACTTTCAACTGGTCCGAACGAGCTAACTGATTATTTAGCAATAAACTGTGACTCCAAAAATAATATTCACTGACACTGACAGCAGCAAGCAAAATATCAGGTGCGTTTTAATCATCCGCTTCTGCTTCCGGAATTGTCGGTTCAGTCGTTCTAACCTGTCAGATTAAAACAAGAAAACCGACAATTCCGAAGCAGAAGCGGACGATTAAAACGCATCCATTAAAAATATTGCGCCAAGATGTAGGCAACACGTAATAAGGGTTCAAAATGGCGGAGTTTTCTATCTCCTTTTAAAAGGCACTCAGAAAGCTGCGCAGTGCGACCATTCTCCGTATAGTAAAAGAAAATCAAAGTATGTGGATCCGAGTAAGTTTCCGAAAACGCCTATGAGTGATTAAACATTAATCTGATGTAAAATAGTTTTGACAATTGGCGTTTAAAAAGTATCAATATGGTAGGGCAGCCAGTGACACTTTTAGGAGTGTTATTTGCGCTAATTAAAAATGTTCGTTCATTCTTACCTCCTAAAACATGGAAATACTTTGCTGTAGTCCCTGTAATACTCGACTACGACGTCTTAAAAAAGCATCTGTAGAAAATCTAGTATCACATATTTGATTAGATAATTAACTTGACATAATCCTTCATGGCTCAGGTTGTTAAGTGTCCAACTTTGAATTTCGCGATCCGGGTTAAATTTCTAATGAACAATATATAATTTTTTATATAATAATATGGAAAATGAAAAAATACAATAATTGCTGTTTATTTGTTTTAAGTACATTTTATTTATCATAATATAACCCCTACAGTTAGGCAATTCGTTAATCTTTCCACTATTTATTTTGTACTATTTAACGGTTCAGAAAAAAAGAAATAGGTATCATCTTCCCAGACAGCACACCAAATCCTTTGGATATCTACTGAACATCACAATATCCACTGAATGTCCAGTCCATGGTGGATATCTATTTTATATTCATGAAATGTAATTTATAGACATGCAAATGTCCATAAATAATAGTAATTATATAGCAAATTATTAAAAAATTATGCCATTGTGCTCGCCATTGTGGCTAATAGTACCGTTCAGATATTTAAAATTAATTTTTTTTAAGGTGTTTTCAATATCCCATGGACATCCACTATAAATATATCAAAGTCTAAGCGCGGACGCAAACCATCGTGGATATCTACTAGATGTAATTTTTGATTTTGCTTCCTAAGTATAGATGGCGATACCACTTTCGTATCTACTTATGCTCGACCCGCCGTAAATGAGTTCGATCGATTTTTTTTTCAGAATCAGACTCTATTAGAGACTGGAGTCGAGAATTTCCATTTATTGCTGAAGAGTCCTAATAAGGATGACTTTCTCCTTAGTGCCCTTATAGTGGGCAAATCAAAGGCAGTTTGTTGGAAATATTTTTTATCTCTATTTTCTTTCGACGTTATTCAATAATCATTGGTTACTTATGAACCTCTACTAAAGATACCTATAAAATATTTTGCTAAATATCTGAATTCTATATCCTGGGATATAAACGGACATTTGGTTGGACATCCATATATCAACAAAATATATTCTGTGGATATATCTGGGATTTCTTGTATTGTTTGGAAGATACTCATTAGATATTTTGCTGAATATCCATAGGATATCTTCTATATTCTGGATATAGACGGACATTTGGATATCCATATTAGATCCACGGAATATTTCTGATATCCTGTGGATATATTGGATATCCACAAAAGATATTCTGTGGATATCTCTGGGATTTGGTGTGTTGTCTGGGTTTAATAATAATAAAATATTCTTGTTTTCTGGCCTACTTACAATTTTTTTCCTTAATTGTTAAATAGCACAAAATAAATAGTGAAAAGATTACCGGATTACCTAACTGTAGGGGTTAAATTATGATAAATAATAGAGGTCGAGAACTATCGATAGTTGAGGCATAAACTATCGATAGTTTTTCCGGTATGAAATAATTCAAATTTTAGACAAAAAAACAAACTTAGTTTACAAAACGTTTATACTAAACACAAAAATAATGTTAATACTGCTTACCTTTACCTTTAATAAACAAGAATCTTTCCATTGTTACAAATATCTAATGGTTACAAACATAAACTAAATTGTTTATATTTGAAAATGACACCCAAGAATACTAAACAATGACCACAAATTAATTGCCCCTTGAGAAAACGTTTTTCCTTTTACTTTTGTTTGTTTTGCGAAAATAGATTTTCATTTACACAAAAGAGGTTGTGGTAATGGGTTCTACTTCTTCTAATTTTGTAGGTTAGGGCAGTATCGAATACTATCGATAAAATATGAAAAATATCGATAGTTCATACTATCGATAGTTACTCGACCTCTAATAAATAAAATGTATTTAAAATAAATAAATAAATAGAAATAGTGATATTTTAGCATTTTTCATATTTTTTCCAAAATAAAAGAGATTGCTTTTATCGTTTATTAAATCCGGGTTGCGAAAGTCAAAGTTGAGCGTTAACGATCTGAGCCATGTAGGCTTATGTCAAGATAATATAATAAAATATGTGACATTAACATTTTCTACAATGGCTTTTTAAGACACCGTCATCGAGTGTTCCTCCGCTAGTGCATCTGCATCAAAGTATTTTAATCTTTTACAAGACAAGAATGAACGAAAAATTTGTAAATGTGTACAAGAAAAGTACCGTTTTAGTGGAAATTTGCATTATTATGGCTCCTATACACGATCGACCATCATCGGCGATCACAGGCAAGTACCATCGTGTGGAGGACCTGTTTTTCAGTTTTACACACACGGGTCAAAAGTAGTTTGCTTTTGTATTTGAATGTGGTAGATACAAATCACATTGACTGTAATTTTGAAAAATGAAAAGATGGATAATCGTGTGTTTGACAGCACAATAATAAACCGTTTTAAAGCGATCAACCGGTAATTTGGGGTATTTACCGTTTTAATTAAAGCGATGTTGGTTATTCTTCGTTACTTTCTGTGACGTCATATTTAAGCCCTTTGAAACGTCATTATTTATAACCGGTAAATACTTCAGTCCAGACGTGGGTTAACAATGACAAGTGACATGCAGTTAGTGTTTTTTGGTTAGATTAGTCAAAGAACCCCGCACAAATCTTATGGAAACTGGCTGCGTTAAAAAAGAAGTACCTTCTTATGTTTTCGGGGTCGCTGCATTCAAATCCAATGCCAATATAATAATATTGACAGTTGACAGCTGTCAAATAGCTGTCAAACAGCATGTGACAATCAAAATTAATAAAATTATCATGCACAGTAAAATATTTAATTAACGATAGTACTCAACTGTCAATATCGTCTTTTTGGCATCAGATTACAATTAGGCAACCTTAAAGACATATGC